CCTTTAGGTTCCTATAGGATTCTTATAGGAATATATAGGAATCCTATAAGACATTTTCGTAAGGGCATAGCTCCTTTACTGGTGGAATGAAGGATCGCATGTTGGAGCACGTAGGAAACCTCTGTTGTCCGTTTTTGATTCAAGAACTGCTTTTTAAATATGACGCTCCTAACTTCAGCGGACTCACCAAGACGTTGCAGCCGTTTACGTTGACGTTAGGTACTAGACAGTAAGCAAATAGGATAGGCAAATAACAAAAAAATTTTGCTTTAAGAGGGTTAGGCCTACCCTAAAATTAAGGAAAGCTCGACCTCGACACGTGATATCGAAATAGGTAAAATCGTCTCTTGATATTACTATCTTGAATCTTAAAAAAATGCAGTAGTTACAAACCCGATGGTACTTTCCCAGCATCTGCTCACCCGATTTCGTGTAAACGAAGTTCTGAGTCCTGCTTCACTCCTGCTTCATAGAGACCTGCTTCGTCAAAAGGCCTTAAGGTTCTGGTGAAATTTTGCCGAGAGTGAAAAGATACTTAATGAGTATCTCTTGAATCTATCCCTCCTCCATGCAGATTCAACCCAGTAGTCCGCCTGAGCTGGTTCATGCACGTATTTCAACGAATGTATTGAGAAATTCTAGCGTCTACTAATTTTTCTTTAACGGGACGGATACGCACAAAGAAAATACTAAAGGAAGGGGATCCCAATCGGACTTCCCTTGCTGGCGGGAGCTACTGAGGCATGGAATCGCCAATGCTTCAGCCCAAGGGAGAGCAGATGGCGTACGAAAGCAACCAGGTGAACTGCCGTCGGTCGGATTCGAACCTGGACCTCCGGCGTTCTGGCCCGAGTCGTCTGAGTGAAACGATCTTGTACCGCATGAAGAGTACTGGGAATTTATTTCAGTGGTACTAAAGTATTCGCTGCATCAGCTACTTAACACGTTGGTTGCCGAACATAATTTTTAACATGCAAAATGTAGGACCGGCGATGCACTCGGGAGCCAACGTTTTAAGCGCCATCTCGCACGATTTCGGGAAACCCTGTTTGTTGGAGTAACTGCGCTCGATGGCTTGCCAGCCCCTAGGACAGATGGCTGCCGCACAAACGCCAATAGGCCGAAATGGTTTGAATCGGCCCAAGCATTCCAATGCACAGCCAACATGGGCTCAACAAGGCGCGCTGCCTGGGAAGGTTAGTTAAATAGAAAATATCGATCAAATTCCTGACGTGAGGAATGATTGGTTGATCAGTCTAAAAACCAGGAAAACCAAAAATTATAATCCAATGATTTCGAGTGATTGCTTTCGGTGCATTTCGATCTAAATTAACTCGTCATTCGAGGTGGAGGAATATTTACTAATTACTTAAATTCCAAGATCATGCTCGAGATGCGTCTATCTCGTTACCACTACGCTGGTCCGTTTACGAAAGTCGAATCCCGATTTAAGCACCAAGAACGAGATAGATGCAACAGCTATGGTTCACGATCTTCAATATTACATAGCACGAGTATCAATCGCTCTTATGACAAGATGCTCGAAGAAACAGCGAGTAAAATCAGGTAAGATCTAAATGATCCGTTCAGAGAACCATCAGAGCTGTCGAGGCTGAGAGGAGGGTCAAAGAGTGGGCCAATCAAAGTTAAACAGTGGGCCTGAATGGGACCACGACTTCCTAAATCAGCCGAAGACAATGTGCGATCGCTATTGACCGGGGTGGGAAGTAATATCCGTGTTCACATTGACGACACAAAGGGTGTTGTTCACGAGCCTGGACTAGGGATTTACTCTGAATGAGGAGCTTCAACAGCTCTTGATTTCCCGGATGAAGATCGGGAGCAGTTACGTTGGTTGGACTCAATGTTTAGACATTCGGATAAGTTTTTGCGAGCAAGATCGGCTTCAAGCGGACGGGACTTAAAAGTCTCGAGAATTATTTTAAATTAAAAAATTTGGGAATGGCCATGCTACCATCGAGAAAAATTTTTAACGGGATACGCACGTTGAGACGGCACTGTAGAACTCTCGGTGCGAAGGGGAGAGTGAGCGAGAGTGAGCCCGAGAGGGAGCGAGCTGCTTCGAGATAATAGCTTCGAGGGGGAGACGAAAACAATGTCAAGGTCGAGCGAGACCCGCTGCTCCGACGAAGGATGAAAGGAAGACTGCGAGGTTTCCTCAGACTGTAGGGCCACTTCCACGAGCGACACCACTGTGAACTGCACGACGCACGGCAATTCCTGCGCGACTGCAGGCGCGCACAGACCAATGAGCGAGGATGAGACACGACGACGCCCTCCGCGAAGCACGGCTGCACGCTCCTAGGTTCGGTGGAGACCCCGACCGCGAATGAGTCGCTCCAAGGAAAAGATGAAGACAGGGGATATTATTTCATTGCCACAAGGCAAAAGCATCGGAACGATCGTGCATTCATCGCCGAAAAAAGTGCGAAAGAGTTCGGGCGATCTTGAAATTTGGTACGGAAATTCGCAGCAGTGCACCATGAAATGTTTTCGAGTTTCAAGGACGTATGATGAACCGCAGGAATCATAATAAGAGGAATGGCTGTGAGAGAAAATTCATCCTTAACCTTTAGGCTGCTGCAAGGGCACGATTACGACTTGCATTTAAAGATCCAACTAGCCGCGATCGCATTTATAAATGCAATTATAGAAAAAATAGCGTTCTGCCATACTTTGAGAGTTGAACAAACGACTGACCTTTGCACCTCTGGACTGACCTTCGTGCTGACCGAAATTTGATAAATCGTGTGGCCCCTTTTATTAAAATATTGCACCTGTTGGGGAAAAAAGAGCCACTGGAAATTACGGTGGGGGGGGGGGGGGAACACAAATCAGTTTAACAATGAGTTAAACATATTTGCCTAGAATCAGATCAGTTTAGCTCCTAAACCGATGTGGTGCATGTCACCCAGTGACATGCACATCATCATCTAGCGACGATGGAAATGGAAACTAGTGATGAGATAGAAGTTTTTGACACGATTCTGAACCAACCCGCCAGGAGGACCATCAGTTCTCAGCTCAATTTTCTCGAATGTCCCAACGGAGACGAACTCGGACGAGGTTTCGTTTCCCCAAGGACACCGTCGCCGACTCGGTTCGGGCGGTGGAGCAGAAGCCGGCACATCGTGCTACTCATTCTCTTTCCGAGTGGACCCATACCGCCTTTAAACGTCTTTAAACCGTGGATGAACGTGTTCATGGAAACTGATCTGTTTTTCGGTGTTGCATGACAAAGATAAACACATTCTTATCCATGTTTTAGCAAAGTGTCTTTAAATTGATGCGATTCCTCCATTGCATTTTGCCTTTTATCTTTTGATCCCGTCTCGACAGGAGAGTGGTTCGATTCGGATTGTACCGCGGCCGGAATGAAACTAAGCGTACCCAAAATGATGCGGAGAGCCGCCATCCCGCGATTGAATAAGTCATTCAACCCGCGATTCGCAACATCTCTCTTAGAATTCACACATCTGTCCGAAATATCAGGCGACCGATGATGACGGCGAAAAACGGTGGCGCCCATGAGGATCCATGTCGGAATCGCAGGCGGAATGCAGGAGAAAATTAAAGAAAAGACTAACGTCTGAGTGAATGGAATGCAGGCCGCAACTGCACGCGTCTTGCATGGGAATCAAGAGAATCTCCCGAGTGAAGATAATCCCTGTGTCATTTGATACCAGGGCGAGATGAACTTATTCGATTGTGCAAAAAAATGACGATGTAGGTGAGCAATGCATAGTTAATCGAGAAATTAAAAAGGACGGAATATGTCGCCCTACTTTATTAATTTATATTTTGTCTGACATTTGTCACGAGCCATTGACCTACTTAGAAAGTGAAACGATCCATATATCACAAGGCAATGTCCATGACCTTGACCTGGACCTTGACCAAGACCATGCCCATGATCTTGAACTTCGGCTCCGCGGTCCTGGGATATACGCGACACCTACTACTGCATACATGCATCCAAAAGACTCCCTGCTCCAAAATTGTTATGAAGAATGCGTCTCCTCCGAGAGTAACCAAAAGAGGAGGCATAAGCGGCACCAAGTCGACCTCGCACCTTTCAATATTAAGCACGTTTCAGCACCTTCTCATATAATCCACATTGAAACGACTTTCCTCGCTTTCTAACCCACCAGTCTTCCACTTCTCTCACTCTGCTTCAGTCGTCCTTCAGCCTTGGTGCAAGGGCAGGGGCATCATAAGGTAAATCGTTGGTTGACAGGTGAGCATATGCGAATTCCAACCTAAAATCGTTGCAGACCACAGGTCTAGAGCACGTGCATTTGCTGCATTTAGATCAATTCAAGGCCGAATCCTTGCGTTTCACATTCCTAGGTTGCGATGGCCGTCAGTCGAGCTCCGAAGCCGAGAGAATGTGGGAAAAGACCTCGCCGAAGAATTTTATAGCATTTCTATTGGCAGTCCGGGATTCCGACGCATCGTCGCATCTTCACGTCTCGATTGGGATGCGACGAAGAAACCACGTTCCACCTGAAAAGAATCTGGAATTTCCTATTCTTTCCAGGTTCGTCTCCTTCCTACAATAACTAAGTTCAAATGGAATCTGATGCGACGGTCGTCAATCTTGATGGAAAGTGCAGGACGAATGCGAAAAAATATAACAGAATAAAGCTCAAGGAAACGAAGTGAGAACGTTACAGTGTCGTGAGACTTTGTTGGAAAACTAAAATCATGTGTGGAATTCAATTCCGAAGATATAATTCTGCTCCAACAATTCATTCTACTATATTCCTCCGCTGAATGACGACCCCTGCCAAACAAGATCCCAGTCGTGTACAAGTCTAGGAAAAGCGGCGTCCAATGAAAGGACTGCATCGTCGGGGAATCCCGTCATAGTTTCTTGCGTTTCTCCGATCTCAGCTTGGACTTTTCCAGGACGAATTTCATGCCCCACCAGCCCAGACTCGTTGCCAATGCGGGCGAGACGTAATTCACGAAACAGGCAGCATCTCTCTGAAAAGAAAAAGTTTCACTTCAATTACATCACAACATGCCCCTACATTTTTATTATTGGCACGCTGAACGTCATTAACTATTTTCCACTGGCCTACGTCGGCAGAACGAGAATGACTTTTCTAGCGCTCGAGTGTTTCTTCTTTTTTCTTTTCATTTAATTCATTTTGCGAGCGCAGAAACCCTGTTTTTACCCACCAGTACAAAATATATTTTTTGCTTCACAAAAATATGATACCATAGAAAACACTTTTAAAAAGTAGTTCACTTGTAGAAGCGCATGTTCAATGATCGATTCTATCTAAGGTCTTACCTGGAGGTTATGAAGCCAATAACCAGAGGTAACTTGGATTTTAGTGATGGAGCGGAGGTCGGATCTGACGAAGGTATCCGGAGTCGGTGCTGCCAAACCCGGCCGATCCAACAATTGATCAGTTTTCTTCGTGTACACGAACCTATGAGCCAAATTAGAAGTTGCATGGCGTATTTAAAACCTGGATAGAAATCACTCTGATTGCAGCAATGAACAAGGAAGACTTAGTCACCATGAGCTAACAAGGAGCTTATATTTAGCAAAGTTCCTAGGGCCTTTGTCAGAATGGAATGAAACAAAAGCTTATTAGCTTTTCTGTGAACAAAGAAGACTCACCCAGGGCCGACGAGGTGGACATGAATTCCTTTGCTCCTGTACTCCCAGGCAAGACTCCGAGAAAAGCTGTCAACAAAGGCCTGGAATGAAGACATATGATTGATTTTTTGCCTATATTCCCGATCTTATGGAGCTATCCTTTGTGGAAGTTAAACTATTCTTTGTGGAAGTGAGACTGAAGGGATCCAACTTTTCAAGTGAAACTGAGAGACAAGAGAAACTTGAGAAACGAACGCCTCTCTCTCGTCCTACTACTCAATCTGAACAGAGCGCAGGAAGTCTGAAATTCTATTTACAACGCATTTCGGATGGAAAAAATTGCCCAGGCAAAGAAATGATTAACATATACTTGACGATTTCGCACATTTGCGTTCTCATAAGAAAAATAAGTGTATGGGCAAAATAGAGGGTCCAGGTGCTGACGCCTTCAATACAGCATAATTGAACAAGTGAAACCTCCGGTGGTTTCATTCAAAAGATGAAGATGTCATGAATATACCTTTGTTGCGGCGTAGGTTGCAATGAGAGGAATCGGGGAGACAGCAGAAAGGGAGGAGACATTGATGATGATTCCCTTTCCCTTCTCGACCATCCCAGGGAGGACCATGTGGGTCATTCGGACCAGGGACATGTTGTTGACCAGGACCAAGTCCTGGTACGCCTTCTCTCCCTCGGGGACATCCAGAAACGACTGAATATCCGTTGTAATCCCCACATTGTTCACGAGGACCCCGACGTCCAGGCCCGCCAGCTTCTCCTTTATACCTTCGTAAATGTCCAGCTTCTTGAAGTCGGCTTGAACCACGAGGGTCTCCACGCTGAATTCCTTTTCTGATGGGATATTACAGAGAGAGCCCTAACAGCATGTTTATGTTAATTTTATGTAAAATGAATGTAAATTTTTTGTCCATTTTATATCACTTTTACGCAAACCATTGTCAAGAAAATGTCAACATGTTTCCAGAAATGTCACCTCTGTGATACGTAAACGGTGATATAAAATTAGCGTAAATTTGACCTTCCCGTTTGCATTCCAAAGCGCATGTTTGCATTCATTTTACGTAAGATTTATGTTAATTTTCCCCTGGCATTCATGCGTATTTAATGAGTCATTCAGTACCATTGAAGTGAATTGACATACTGAATCTCTTATTCCTTTACGTTCTCAGAACGCTAGAGTGGTTTGACGAGTGCACGAGTACTCATACTCACCAGCACTCAAAGAGTACCAAAGTGACCTACTGATGTTCAAAGGAACTCTTTTCCTTTTAGGATAGAGTAGATATAGTATTTGCGAGCTGGGATTCTACTTTTCCCTAATCCCGTGCACTGCTGTAATAAAAAGTTTAACTTTGCATTGCTCACCTACATCGTCATTTTTTTGCACAATCGAATAAGTTCATCTCGCCCTGGTATCAAATGACACAGGGATTATCTTCACTCGGGAGATTCTTAAATTGATATCTTGTTTACGTGAACATGCTGCTTGGGAGATTTGCAAATTTAAAATAATTCATTTTAAAGAGAGCATCAAATACGAAGAGACTGAAAGTAGAAATATCGAATTCATGGAAAATGTTTCTGGCATGACTTAGGGAACTATTAAGGCCAACCTCAAACTAAGGGAATCGTATTCTTTCCCCGAGGTTATCGGAAGTAATTCGCGGGGAAAAAAAACATCAAAAGCTTGGAAATAAATCCTGCGGAACTACGGTCACGAGAGCAAGAAAATATATATTTAAAATGTCCAATATGCACATTTAAGCATAATGAAAAGTTGCTGGAATTAAGCCAAAAGCCATAAGCAACTTACCAATTTGCAAAGCCACTGCCTGGAGCTTCTCAGGATTCCTGCTGATCAAGACGATTTTCATTCCTCGCCGGGCCAACTACGGGAACAAAAGAGCGCATGGATTTGAATTTTCTTCAGAAGAATGGCAGGGCCGTCGGGTCGGGTGCGGCTGCGAGGACCTCACCTCCTTGGCGTAGCTGAGCCCGATCCCGTCCGTGCATCCCGTTATCACTGAGAACGGAAAGGGGCGTGACAGCGTATGTCAATGAATTTGGGGCATGTGAATGTATAGTACTTTAAAAAAATGATAAAGTCACATTTCCTGCATTACTGTGGAGTTGCGAGACTCCCAGTGAGAGAGAGAATAAGTCTAGAACGAGTCTCAAATATAGGATTATTCAGAGTTTTGTCAGATAGTACTTTACGCTGCTGTTTGTACCAATACCTAGACTATGGCGCGCTCATACGAAATTAGTTAACTTGAACTTGTATTTTATTTCATTTTGTGAAACCATAAACTATTTTTCAAGGCATAAAAAGCAAGTCTAAAAATTCCTCACCATAGGAAAAGAGGGTTTCGTGTAACACACAAAAAAACACATTCTACCCTACGGAAATCTATGTTACAAGAAACAAAGTTCCAAGTCGACAAAGGATGTACTGGTTTGCAGGTGTGATGTGGTTTTCGCAACGCCCTATACTTTCACGCATGACTTTTCTCGACACTGGTTCCAATTTTCTCAGAAACATACAAATTACGTGCTTGGCTTTTTTAAAATTCTTTCTAAGAACCTGAAAGCATGCACATTGCAGCCCAAGGATAAGCAAAGGAAGTCATCCTTGGAGATTAATCCACATCATGTCCGCCATCTGATCGTGCTATGAACTAGAAACCTGTCTTTCCTTATGGCATTTGCGAGGAGAAAAGCGCATGAAAGTAAATTCTAACGTGGAAGTACAGGATGTGTCAGAGAAGACGGACACATGAAATCTACGAAAAATTATTGCTTACTGATATTTCTCCCTTATTTACAGGTTTTAATATTCTTCAAGGTTTGGAATTTTATCTGTCATGGATCAAAGGGAGTTTACTTGCCATATGAAAATTATGGAAGATTTTTTTTTTTTCGCAAAGGCTCCATTGTGCAAGCTCAACGTGAGGTTCGAAGTGAGTCAGGAGAGAGAGGGACAAAAGAAGCTCAACGCACCTTTGGATTCACGTTGCGCTTGCACAATGAAGCCTTTTGCACAAAAAAGACAGTTCGAATATGTTCGTATGATGAGGAAATTCCTTTGATCCACGACAGATAAAATTCCAAATCTTGAAGAACCAGTAAGTTCTATTAAAACCAGTAAATAAGAGAGAGGTATCAGCAAACAATAATTTCCCATAAATTTCAAACGTGCCCATCTTCTATGACACAACCTGTTTAATTTGGAGTCTTACCTGCCCAAGCACCAAAGGAGGCGAAAGGGGGGTACGGAGCAAAGGCGTGGACGAGGAGCCTCCTCATCTGGTGGAAGAGCTGGACGCCCGCCCAAGCCAGCACCGAGAACGTGACCATCCGCGAAAACACTGACCAGAAGCACCAAAGCATTGCCATTCTCGTGTGATCATGACAACACAGACAATCCAAGGAAATTACTTTTATGGCCTTTTTGGTCTTGTAGTCCTGAACGTTAGAAGTATATCGCCTTGTAAATCAATTTGAAAAATAACTTAGTCACACCTTAAAACTACGACACCAACAAAACCATATCGGCGAAGTTGAAATCTGTGAATGAACTGTGTTACAGTGTCTTAGATTTGCTGTACAAGCTAAAGTTCTCGTTGCTTCCACAGCAGGAAAGAAGCGAGTCTGTAATGAGTGCCACGATGAAAGCTGAGCTCCATCGAATACCTCTATTCGTGATCAATGTGGATGAAGTGAGTTGGAGATGCCATGTTGCTGGCCCATTTTATAAATGGTCCCGTCATGCGAAGTAATAGTCGAATTAACTGCTAAAAAAAAATATCCTGGAAAAGTAAACATCTTGACCGACAAAATGCATGTTTTGCCTTAAGTAGTTTTGACACATAAACATACCGATGAGATCCCTTTAAACATACCGATGAGATTCCTTTCTGCTGCTAACATCATCAACATTTTTTCGGATTGTACTGTCATTTAGTTTTTAAAAAGTATATTGGTAAGAGAAAAAAAGCCGAAAACATACATCCACGCCTAGTTATATGACATTGTTACCAAAGTGGCGCCAGTAACTTCTGTCAATATCTCTACTTGAAAAGTGCTAACGACAAAAAATAAAGCCATAAATAAATTCATATGGTATACTTTCGCGCATCAATGCTTCATTATTACATATTTAGATAGGTGGGGGGAAAATGTAGGGCTGTTTTATGGTTTGAAATCATTGACCTAAAAGACCTAGATTGAATAGACTTAAAAGAAAACAAAAGAATATGCCAGAGGCCCGGCCACTCTCACTCACCAACGAGCACGTCTGCCGGTACCTTCCTGCGTCCACTCGGTTTTTTGCTCCATCACCATCCCAATGCGCATGCGCCACCATGCGCATGCGCTAATCCTGTATTCACATTCCATCCCACCAGTCGAGTTCATCTCAACCTGTGTGCGTAAGAGACTGACTGGCAAAGGAGCGAGTGAATACGGATATTCAACTGGAACAAGTTGCCTCTTGTTTAGCGAGTTCTCTTTTCGAAAAAGCTCAAAATTCTATAAGGTTTTATCATGCCGTGCAAGCTAGTCAAGAAAAAAATTCGCATAGCTCTACCATACTCCTCCGCAGAAGGCTAAAAAGTACACGACGTGTCTGCGAACTTCTTGGTCATCCTTTCTTTCTTGGAAGAAACTCCTGGACTCATAGTTATTATAGATGACTCCCTCTGTCAAACACCTTGATTTCCGAGACGAAATTGCAATACAAGCGCGTTCCTGGTCGGGTGCGGGCCACGATTTGAATCGGGCCGATCGAGTTTCAACTCGGAAAAGTCAACCCGTGCAGGCCTCTGACAGGAAGACAGCAGAACCTGTAGCAACGACTTTCGCAGCGTACTTTTTGGACGTTTCACCCAATAAGTATCGTCTCCAGGTCATGAGCTCTCGTTTGACACCCCAATTATTAAAATCCATTTATCCATCTAGGAGGTGTTTCCCGGAATGACAGACATTTTAGCCTCTTATGTTAGTATATGGATGGATGGATGGTATTACGATTTATACGCTGTTTAGTACCTCATTTACCCTAAGTCGGTCTCGGAACGCCTGATTTGCCGTATCTCAGTGCTCACTATTCGATCGACGATACATCAAGACACAGTTGGAGGCATATTAAAGGAGTGAGCATATATCTCATGTCTCCTCGCATGCTGACGAATAAATGGAATCGGAATGATGGGCGTGGTGCATCGACGTGGCCTTCCATGCTCAGACATCTGGCTTACTCAGATGTCTCATTCTTAGAATACTAATTTTAAAATGTCAGATACAACAACGTCACGTTTCTCGCATTTACAAAATATGTAAGGAAACAATGTGACACCCGCCTGCGAGCAATAGATGTATCCGCATGAAAACATTAGCAGATGTCTGCAAATGTTTTCTGAATATTCACCGTTGCAATATCCTTCATCTCAGAAAAATGATGCACCTGTCTGTTATTGAGTGGAACGTGTATGCTGCAGCAGATGGGTATTCGACTGTTTTCCCAATATAACAATTTGAAGAAAAGGAAAGGCCGCTCATTTGAGAATATTGATGAAAAGTGTTTGCGGAATGTTGTTGAATACTCATAGGAAATATCTCAAGGAAACGAAGTCGGAGAATGGTCGCCACATGAAGGGATTGTGGTGGGAAAGAAAATAATGCACTGAGCTATGGACAGGACAATGTATTTCCGAACAAAGGGCGACACTGCTGATCGTCCCTTCACTCGCGATGAAAACGGATAGCCCAATTGATGAGGAGCTTCTGGAACAAGTGAATCCTTCAGATAATATCCAAGCGTAATTTTTTCCTGCTCTCTGCCGATCTCTGCCTGGCCATCTGCCTTGTCATAAGCCATCCCACCCGATGTATCATCAATGTGGGTGCGACGTAATCCCAGAAGCTGATCCACTCTCTCTAGAAAAAAAAAGTTAAAATACAAATATACTACAAAACACTTTCAATAGTTAAAAGCACTGAAACGCGTTTCAATACTTTCACGCCATGTATTTTCAGAAGCTCCCTTCCTAGGATGAGAAAAGAAGGAATGTTGCAGTGGAAATTCCATTTTCTCGCGTGTAAGCATGGCATATTTACCATGGCACAGTTCCTCCGTATAAAAAGATATGATACGAAGGAAATGGGCTACATTGATCAAAAGATTTTGTCGGGATTGTGTGGCAGATACTGGCCTTTCCCACGCAACTTCCCACTCTCACGACCCATGTACATGCAACTCAAGATTGTCTAAAATTAATATATTATGAGTCTTCCTAGGCATAGCCTACAGTATGATGACATCTCATTTTAATCGCTACCCCTTTCAAGTGCCATTCTAGCAACGAAGATAGGATTCATGCCTACAGGGTGTGGAAAAAAAGACTGACGAATTTTGACTTTAATATCTTCACGGCAACCAGAGCTTTCTCGCAAAACATCCATACATGAGGATGTTTCCAACTGACTCTGAATTTTATCCTAATTTGTATGGTCAAAGCATACTATCTGCAATGATTGAAAAGGAGCTGAACATTGGGAATGGACAGGAGCTCCTGGTGATAGCGGAGGAGGTCATTGGGGATGAACTCCCTCGGTGTCCTCTCTCGGTCATCCAGACCACGTTGAACCCCTGCTTGGAGTTCATCCTATGGGGTGGTCGTTCCTTGGGGATGGTATTCATGAATTTATTCCGAATGAGTAGTTGATGAACCGATGAGTACAAAATGTGGGTTTTCACCAAATTCATTTAGAATTTCCCATGGTTTACGTCAGCCCGAGTCTGCATGGTATGGAAAAAAGTCCAAGAAATTCAAGTGTACCTAATGATTTCTCAGATGTTATATTTCACAAATTTTGCAGTGGATTTAGGTTGTCTTCATTTATGCGGAAGCCAACAAGGCTGCCTCCTTAACCAATTCAAATCAACGTTTGTGTGAAATTATATCAAACTACAAGCATTCAAAATGGACAATTCCTTCATTTTAAAAATGAAGGGAACGGAGTATGAGGCTCTCGTCGTTCTCTTCTTTCGTTTTTCACGGTGCCCTGACGTATCCCAAGTCTTTACGTTCATCGCTTTTTCTTAGCGCGGAAAAAATATTTTTTTTTGGAACCCTAATTTGGAACCCTAAAGAAGTTCACAAACTCCAAATGGTTACATTTCTTTAAAAGGCAAAAAAAAGTGTCATTTGAGGTTTCAGATCTCACCATGATGTTATGAAACCAATAGCCGGAAGTAACTTGGATTTTAGTGATGGAACGAAGATCGCATTGGACAAAGGTATCCGGCGTCGGTGCTGTCAAATCAGGTCCATCCAGCACTTTATCTGTCATCTTCGTGTACACTAACCTGCATGGAAAATACCTAATTATACGACCTTTCGCAACGCGAACAGAAATCACTCTGATTCCGGCAGTAAACTCTGGAGAGTTAGCCATCATACTCAGAGACACCTCAAAAAAGAATTAATTTTTTTGGTTCAGTTCTAGGGGAATATTTTTGAAAGGAATGGAACATCGATTTATTTGAACGTCCGTGAATCAGGAAAACTGACCCAGGGCCGACGAGATGGACATCAATCCCTTTGTCTTTGTACTCGTAGGCAAGACTCCGAGAAAAGCTGTCCACAAACGCCTGGAAGGAAGAAGTAATGAGTCATCGCTTGCTAGCAGAGAAGTACCTTGAAGCTGCAAGTCATAGAGTGTAATCTTGTTTCATGCAACATAGGGAGCATAGCTCACCTTGTTCCGCAGGCATCTGAATTTTACCTAGTATGTTGGGTTCAATGACAAACACAACGAATATGTTGCAATATTTCCAGGAATTTTCCCTGGGTATGTGGCTGAGGTAATTAAAATATTTAGAACATGATATCTGTATTATTCCAAACTGACAAATTAAGGAGACTCGTCGAAATCCTAAAATTCAACTTATAACACGTGGACAAACTTGTTTTATCTAGCCGAGGAGAAGATTAAAGGCATATACATGTACATACTCATCAAGAAAAAATTCAGGTTCTTTAAAAAAATATAGCATAACCATTTTTGCTCAGTTCGGCATTTTGCATTTTGTTATGCCTCAGATGGCTTTTTTCTAAAGGTTGTTTTAAATATACCTTCGCTGCTGCGTAGGTTGCCAGGAAAGGAAAAGGGTAGAGGGCAGAAAGAGAGGAGACATTGATGAGAATCCCCTTTCTTTTCTTGACCATTCCAGGAAGGACCATGTGGGTCATCCGTATCATTGACAGGTTGTTGACAAGGACCAAGTCTTGGTACGTCTTTTCTCCTTCGGGCACGTCTAAGAAGGGGGAGAAATCCGTTAGGATCCCCACGTTGTTCACCAGGACCCCGATGTCCAGGCCCGCCAGCTGCTCTTTCATCCCATCGTAGATGTCCAGCTTCGTGAAGTCGGCTTGAATGATGCAGGTCTCAACGCTAAATTCCTTTTCTGTTGGGGGATTTCCAGATCGTGAAACAGCACTCGATATGTGGACAGACTATATACCCGTACCCTATCATACACTATACTCGTATATACACTTAAAAGCTAGCATCTCAGCAAACCATAATAGCCATGCATACAATAGCCAGCTGGTGGATGAGAAGTGAATTCTTTGACAATATTAAACAGCAGGTGTTCATGAACCTAAGATTTAAAATATATATATTCGCTAATTAGACAATAGGCAATATATATGGCGCTAATCACCCAAGGGCAGCAGAAAATGCTCCGCTTTTGAACATAGAAGCTCAGAATATAGATACTAAAATCTGAAGGCCAAAATACCGCTAATATCTTTCACAATTTGGGTAAAGCTTAAGTCCATCTGTCAGTGCCACAGTTAACGATCGATTAGCTCCATCAGCCTCACGACTGGAATACACGTAGACTCCAGTCTATAGAAGAAACGAAGCGTGGAATGACTCAAGCCTGTGAAAGAAAATGTGTGGCTTTGGAAAAGGTCCCATCACGCATTCAGTGAAATGCCTCTTCCACTGACATATTGGAGCGATGCACAGACTGCTTTTGCTACCTCGAAATCGACAGGCAAAGTGATGACGATCATATTTGATTGCAAAGGGATAATCCTGACGCACTTTAAGCCACATGAGACGACGGTGAATACGGAGACTCATCCTGACGTTCTAAGCACAAAACAGCGATCCGCCAGAAGAGACCAGAGCAGTTGCCGACCTTCTGGTTCCTGTACCATGACAATGCTCGCCGGCATGTCGCCTCTAGTGGGGTCGACGCCATGAGGACGATCGGGGCAGAAGTTTCACCGCACCAGTCATACTCGCTTGACCTTGCACCCTATGATTTCTGGTTATTCCAGCGCCTGAAGGGAAAACACTACAAGACGAAAGATGAGGTTAAGAAGCTGTGACAACGGAGTTACGTTGGCTCTCACGGAAAGGTCTACAGGTAGCTTTTGTTGCATGGGTGCAACGTTGGAAGAAGTGTGTTCGATTGCAGAGGGGGGTACTTTGAAAAAGACAGGAGTCTACCTAGGTATATATACATATGTCGTAGTATTTTGTGGAATTCAGGAGGATTTCAAATATCCCTAGGGAGAGACAGAATTTCATAATTCCGCGTGTTCAGCGAAATCTTCTCAAAGTCGTGTCTATGTCATCTCACCCTAGGTACTGTAGATTCCACATCTCCCAGGCTCGAAAATTGCCCTTCCCACGGCTGGTCCCACAGTGGGCAATTCTCTCCTTTGTGCTGACGAATGCCGCTAAGGCTAAAGAATGCCGTGTTAGCTATCAGTGAGGATGCCGCGCCTGCTCCTGCCTGCCACTAACGAAGAAAGAGAAGTTTGGAAGACAGTGGTTTCGTCAACGAAAGGAGAAACCATCGATGGTGTTAGTGCTGGGCTTCAATTCAGGCTTAAGCACCAGTTTCCAGTGGAAGGAGACGAGCTCCGATGCGTCAAGACTCGCAAACCAGTCCTGGCGTAGTCCGAACTCCCAGGTCATCTAAAGGAACATCACGACGAATCATAATGCCCGAGATACAACCCTGAAGGATTTAACATTGCTTCAAGCTGGTTTTGCCGAAGATGCAGTCAAGACGCGAAGCGAGGTCAATTCGAACCAATAGGTAATTGACTCCGCTTCGAATCTTATTGACGTTGATTTTTTTCTTACCATACATGGACTGAAATGGAATTCCAATTCCCCCGGGTGTCTTGATGATTCTCTTTCTCCCTAGGGGTAAACAAAATGATGGAAGCATTGGCAGCTAATCCAGATGATTTGAAATCCCCCTAAGTCGGAGGTGACATAATGGAAGATTTCAAGAAGATTTCAATATTTCGATAAATGTATCATGTTTATATTTTGGAAGGTCAACTGCGCAAGTCAAGCCGTCAAGCTGACGTCTTTTTTCATGCTAAAAGACTACCTGGTGGGTCGAGCGATCCAACGTGGACGACGTCGTTTCCGAACGAAGAACGGAATTCCAAATGCCTGGAATGAGATGACCGTGGAAGAGACCTGCAAGTCCATCGGGTAAAACGAGATTACGTCCCACAACGGGAAAGGAGGACCAGTCTCGCATCTTTTCGGATGAGATTAGGCATGAAATAAAATGTTCAAGATGCCCCAGTCGAACGGCTGCTGTGAATATACTCTGGCAGTCATAAATTCATAGTTTACATGCTAAAAGGCAAGATTGATGTATTCTAGGAAGGATTTGTAGGTCTCTGCTGCATCCTGATATTGAGAAATAACGTAAAACCTTGGGTCGTTTTTTAAACGCCGTCTGGTAATTAGGCTTATAAAGCCATGAGCAGAATAGAAGGGAACTACAGATACAGAAGCCAAAACAAATTTCCTATTTTTATAACAGAAACTCTCATCTAAACATCAGAGAATCTTTTTGGAACGAAATATTACCTATGACGTGGGCCACTTCTTGAAGCTTCTCCATGTTCCTGCTGATCAAAACGATTTTCATCCCGTGTCGGGCTAACTACAATAAAGTACAGAGAACATGTTTATCGCTTTCATGTATTTCTTATTTGGAATGATACCATCTTTGTTTGGAATTGGTGTTGAGGACCTCACTTCCTTGGCGTAACTCAGTCCGATCCCGTCCGTGCATCCCGTCACCACTGAAGACATAAAGAACAGTCGCAAAATCAGGTAACTAATCTTGAAATGGGATTGAAGGTTTTCAATGAAACTGATTAATTATCCGTGTTCTCTGTGGCACTGTGGAGAGGCTGAATGCAATTACAGGCACGATTGTTTTGTTGTTCTTTTTTCTCGTAGGACTGGCAGAATCCGGCAGCCATTAAGCAAGAAAGTCGACTCCAATAGGGACTATTTAGACTTTTCCATGAGAGCTTCCACGCCTGACAGCAATGTGTCCGCAAATCGTAAGGGGACGCCACTAACGGACAAAATCTTCCCTTTTATGAGCATGGTGCACAGAAAAAAAGACTTATTGCTGTTGCGAACTCTCCGTTAACTTGGTCTTGTCCGCTCGCCCGTCTCGTTAAAAATGAACACGTACCAAATTTTTGGAACGGGATGTCTTTTTTTTCCGTTTCCCTTACTACGGGTTATTGCTTCTTCGACGAACAAAATTTGGAGGAGTGCTTCATCGTCTTCTTTAGAAAAGGTATTATTTTTATCCAAGTGACATACAATTCCAAGTTTGAATAGAAATTCTACCCGAAATTCATGAAAAGATTTTCAATGGTGGGATGCTTTCTGTTGGAGATCAGCAAATAATCATGGCCCCTCAAAACTTTCCCTTATCTTCTAGGAAATATGCAATGCATTGTCAATATATTTTCCATAGTTTGTTTCGTTTCATTCAATGAGGTAAATTTCTATGCCACATTTCCAGAAAATCCAATAGGTGTTCCCAACAGATTATCGGACACTGTGGAATGGCAAAGGGCCGAATGAACAAACCTCATTTAAAGGAGACAAAGAAGCCTTTAAGCTAAAGAGCTCATTTTCCCCCATAGGAGTCTATGTATCCTCTACAATTTCAATGCTGAGTTTTTGAAGCTCTACAGTATTGGGCAACCCGACGAGTATACTCGTACGTAAGCACGGAATGGGTAAAGGACCGTTAACTCAAGGAGGTTTCAACATTCGAGAATTAAGCTACATTTCTTCCATATAGATGTAGTTTAGATAGAGTCTCTCTCTTACCTGCCCATGCCCCATATGAGATGAAAGGAGGGTAGGGGGCAAAGGCGTGGATGTAGAACCGCCTCATCATGTGGAAGAGCCGGAAGCCTCCCCAAGCGAGCACTGAAAACGTGACCATCCGCGAAACCACTGCCCAACTACAACATCCCCCTTCCATTCCCGAGTAAATTTCCTTGTCCTATCTACAGCACTGCAAGGTAATTTCTTCGAGGAGCTTCAGTTTTCATCGTCACAAAGATCCTTCTTTGCAATTAAAAAATATGACTCAGGCGGCTACTGAGTCAACGATACTTCCTCGACGATGGCCCATCGTCGATGGGGATGGAGTCAGCGAAAAATCAAACCTGCTTCTCCATGAAGCAATTTCCATAGAAGGATATTGCGATGCCTCAAAGATCCCCAATGAGCGACTCATTTTTCCTAAGACACTGCATAGATTCCTGGAAGCCGTCCTCATGCAATAACTGGGTATTTCACCATTCATCCGACGCTTTCAATGGCCTTCAGCTACACAGAGTCGAAGTGAGGGAAGTGGATGAGACATGCGCAATGTGCTCTCGGCCCCAACCCCATCCGACTTCAGTTGCTTGTACGTCGTGGTCTGGAGGAGGCCAATTCTCCAATCACGTTCAGCAACCGACCAAGTACTGAGAAGCCAAAGATGTCGCGTGTCTCAACCATGAATCTCATGCCTCGATTCGACTTGTCCAACTTCCTCGAAGGGCTGGAGGAGCAGTGAAGTCCTCGGATCATCTGACGGCTGAACATGTGAATCTATGGCTCCCGTGATCCGTAGAACCAACGAAAATATCACAACTGCTCCAAAATCTCGTGATTTGGAGCACGGGAAACAAATTTATGAATCACGAAAGGGATGGGACATGTTTAGGAATAAAATGTACTCAAAGTGTTCTAATTGTAATATATGAGGGTTACATTAGTGGGGGAGAGTCGTACAACCTAAGTAGGGCCTCACCTACACACCAATCGAGTTCTATTTTTCGACATCTAGCCCCTGGGATCGATGCGAAGCCGAGGTTCTCCGACTGGATAGCGAAAGACGCATGTGTCTGTCTTGAGCTGTGTAAACGTCTCCGTTTTGGTTATCCGCCTCTCCCTCCCTCATTTAAGACACTTATACCGACGGCAGAGTAAAATGTAAGAAACATGAAAGCAAAGAAACAGGCACAATGGATCGCCAAATTTTGAAAGCCTTATTTTTCTGTTTGGGAGAGCGAGGACCAAAGATTACCATCTATGAACAGCCACCAGGCATGTCTATCAAATGACGAAAGAACTATTCCGATTGCTTGCTTCTAGCTGATGTTACTGCCAAAAGCATCCCGAGTTCAAAACATTGCGCCAATTGTTTGGTTCACTGTTTGTTCTATTCCTTTATTACATGTTTTCCTCGAACTCTTTCTTCTTACTCTTCGAGACTTACTGTAGTGCATGATTCAGGATGATCCGTCCATGAATGTCCTTGTTGCAAATGGCCCGTGCAATTTTTTCTTTTTACATGGCAGTGTACATGAATATGTCAGAAAAGTGCTGGATGGACCTGATCTGACAGCGCCGACGTTGGAAGCCCGAGGCCAAGCGAGGTTCGCCGACAGAATATTGAAAAACAAGGCCACCTTCCTCGAGCTGCGTTCACGAAGTCCGTTTTGCTTAACCACCTATCCCTGCCTCATGTAAGACCCCTAACCGATGGCAACCGATACAATAAAACTCGATTTGGATGTAGTAAGTTAAATGGCAAGTTTTTCAAAGATGGTAGAACGATACGGTGGAGAACCAAGAAAATCAACAGAATTTTCTGCGTGAAGATAATCCCTTTGGGCATTTGATACAAGGGCCAGATGTATTTCCTCAATTTTGAAAAAAAAGGAGCATCCCGCTTCAACGGAAATCCTTGAATGAATCCAAATGGCTGCATTCAGAAGAATCTTGTCGAAGTCATCTACTCCAAAAGTTGAAGAATTCCATAATCGTTTGTAGTTTCTTTTTCTTTGTCATTTCTAGCATCGCCTTGACGAGCCTTCCGAGAATGTTAGTCATCTGGTTAGGTAAAACGAAGTCCCCAAAACGGATGGCCTCTCTCTGTAAAAGAAAACCCGTTCGACTCTGTTAGCCTCTGTATACCGACAATGTACCGTACGAGCTAAACAATTAAGGCAGTTATGCACCATGATGTCGAGCATAGAAAGACTATTCACTGCGAGACCTTCCAAAGCACACTGACTTAAACTGACAGTCCTCCTCGCCCGAAACGGTCGAAAGGACTTCAATACGCTATCCAATTTCGAGCCTCCAAGTGCGAGGCGATGCCGAGATGAAATACCTCAAGTCGATCGCGATTAAACCAATGAAGCATCGAGTTCTTGCTTTTAAAGAGAGATTCCGATTCTCCCGTCAACACACGCTAATGCAAATATCAATACAATGTGCCCAGTAGAAACCAAAGGATTGCAATTAGCACGCCTTTAACAACGAAATGATGCTTTCTTTCTACAAGTATACATCTAGTATAATATTTCTAATATATATTTATATAATATTTCATCTAGTAGAATATTTGTAAATCCTTTGTGAATAATCTTGAATAAATCCTTAATTTAAAAAATGAATCCTTTGGTTTCCTATTGGGCACCCTGTAGTTGAAATTCTCTTTAGAGATTTCATCCCGCATATCTTCCCACTCAACCACTGTACAACTGCAAGAGTTTTCCTTCAACGAATCATGAATGTTAAAATCCCTCCAATCATAAATGAAATGGGAGTCCTTCTCCTTATTAACATTGATGCTTTTGGCATTTTTTTTTGCTCCAGAACATTCTTGAAACGCCCATGAAACCTTAATCGATTGCTTTTCACGTTGCTACGAGCCTGTGTATACGTTTTCAACGAGCTCCAAAAAATCTTTCTATAAGGTGTATTAACTATAGCTACCATCTAGGTACTTCAGCTTGCATCTTGTGTTCGCACATGTGATAGTGAGAGATCTGGAGAATAATGAGGCATAGAGATGAGGATGGAAAAGCTGACTTTAAAATTAACTTCTGCGGTTTCAGAAGTCGCATCGTATCAAAGACTTTTCAGGCTAGTTCAAATGATGCAACTGTTTGGAAAGGTTGGAAAGAGTGAATGATTCAGTCGCATATCATACCATGAGATTATGGAACCCATAACCGGAGGTTACTTGGATTTTGGGGATGGAGCGGAGATCAGATCGAACGAAGGTATCAGGAGTCGGCAAAAGGAAATCCGGCCGATCCACGAATTTGTCAGTGATATTCGTGTACACGAACCTGCGTGCCAAATTAGAAACATCAGAAACCAATATATGCTACCCGTTTCTTCCATTTGAGGAAAACTCACCCAGGACCGACGAGGTGGACGTGAATCCCTTTATCTTTGTATTCGTAGGCGAGACCCCGAGAGAAGCTGTCCGCAAATGCCTTAACAGAAGATGAAATGATGAATCGCTTACCAACCTCACCATACATCATTAGATGGTTTTAAGAGAAATTGCACTGAATTCCTTCCTGATTGCGGGAAAACCGAAAATCCTAAGTGCAATTTATTTAAGATGAAAAAGAGAACTGCACAACTAAAATGTGCATTAAACATTCAGTCGACTTCTATGCATGGAATAATTTGCATGTCTTCCAACCAAAATATCAGTGTATAGAAGCGACACCGACTTGAGTTAGAGTTGCACCTGTACTCAGTGCAGGTACCACGACTCAGGTATTCTACCAGCAGTATCCTCTCAACTTCTCCTACGGGTAAAGTTACTGGCAAGATAAACTATTCAATGTTACTCGTGGCGATTCGCCTGGAATTAGATGAAAAAATACGCTCGTGATGTACAGTAGCATGTGGGCCAAGTTTCTAAAGGATCACATGTAACAGATTGGTATGAGTACGTGAACTCCTGTCCTGTATTTGTCCGAGATTTTTTCGAACGAAAAGTTCACCTTCATCGTACGGAATTTAAATGTCCCTGTGTTGCTCCACTGCCGATATTTAACTGCAGGTATTTAAATGTGAAATGAAAACACACACAAGCAAGGAAAAGAATAACAGCATACAAAAAGGGTTGTCCAATGAAAAACCGCTTAGAAGGGTCTCCAAAGTGTGAGGCCACCTTAATGACCATTAGGCGATCTGGCAATACATTTAGCGGTAAGTATACTTACCTTTCGGTCTAAAAAGGTGTAAATACCTTTGTTGCGGAGTAGGTCGTAATGAAAGGAAGAGGGGATACGCCAACAATGGAGGAGACATTCATCACGATCCCCTTTCCTTTCTCCACCATCATGGGAAGGATCATCTTCGTCATTTGGACCATGGAGAGATTGTTGACCAGGAGCATATCCTGATACGTCTTCTCGCCCTCTGGGACATCTAGGAAGGGCTGGGGGTCGTTCATCATCCCCACATTGTTCACCAGGACACCGATGTCCAGGCCAGCCAATCTCTCCTTTATCCCATCGTAGATGTTCAGCTCCTTGAAGTCAGCCGGAATCATGAGGGTCTCTGTGTCGAATTCCTTCTCTGATGGCGAATTTCCAGAGCATCAGACAGAACTCCATACGCGACTTTAAAATTAGGAATGACTGTGAGTGAATGAAGATAAAGCCAAATTGGGTTCATGGGCCTAATAGTCATTTTTAATGTATGCAAGTACACTCGCCCTTCAGAACAAATGCATGAAGTTAAATACGGAATGATTTCGAAGAAGACGGATACAAGACTAATGAAAACAAATCCTTCCGTGCCAGACATCCACATATCAAGGCTTTTTTGGGTTCTTCCTTTTATGATTTCGGCAAGATTTTCAAGGGATGGCTTTAGTTTCCTCCACCGACTATTCATTTGATGCCTCTGAATGACGACAATTTCCTATCAACAAAAAAGTTCTCATTCGAAGAGACTTTCTCTGTCTTTACCTTTTTTTCTTTGCGAGTTCTGCAGAGTGCGTTTTTCCTCTCTGGCTTGATTTCCCTTGATACGAGAATTAAGGTTGTGTTAATATTTTTCAAGAATGTTCTTTTTGAAGCTGGGATGCGCCTTTCATTGAAAGTCGTGGCGTAACCATGAACTCTAGAAATATCCTGCTCGTAAAGAAATGTTAAAGTTTCATTTTGAAGTTTTTCTCTCCACTCGCGGTAGCACTTATAATAAATATTATTCCCCACGTTGTTTACTTGCGTGTTGAACTGTCCTATTCTCCTTGCAATCAGTCAGATAAATACAAGCTTCATCCAACATCATCAAATCTTTCCATTTCTCACCCGAAAGATGGGGTTCTGGCAGCTTTCGGGCATCGTTTACTCTCTTAAACTTGCTGGGAAGGAGTTTGGTATCAATATGCGCGGTAGCGCCTATTCCCTTTCTTCAACCCCTTCCCGTCACAAAATCCAACCTCCTCGTATTCCTCTCTGAGAGGATCTACAGGTACGAAATTGAGCAGACTTCTTCCCATCTCAACATAGAATCGCTCCAGCAAATTTGTTCTATCTCCCCAGGGTTGTGAAGAAAACTGAATCTCCCTTTTTGAAGATGCCAATTTTATTCCTTTTTTTTTCTCCCCCCC